CACCTCCTTGTCTAGATCACATGTACATCAATTGAAAACTAAGCTCAATCATCTTACCAAGAAGAATTCAACAATGGAGGACTATCTCTGTCAAATCAAAACTATTGCTGATCACTTAAGTCTTGCTGGCTCACCAATTCATGATGAAGATCTGGTTTTACTTACTCTAAATGGACTACCTAATGAGTACAATGCTTTTAAAACATCCATTTGTACCAGATCTGAACCTATCTCTATTACTGCCTTATCTTCCCTATTATGTTCTGAATCCATTCATATTGAAGGCTTTCTTAAACAAGCTCACACATCAGATCTTCCATTTGCTTATACTGCTACCAGACCTTATTCTAGAGGAAGTTCTAAAGGTTACAACAGAGGTGGATATAAAGGTAATAATTCAGGAAATTCAGGCAGATTTTATAAACATATGTACAGAGATGGAGGACAAGGTAACATCTATCGAGGTGGAGGACACGGCAGTGGAGGACAAGGCAATGGAGGACAAGGCAGATCATCTTCATTTTCATTTTCGCATCATCCACAACTGATTTGTCAAATATGTGGCAAATCAAACCACTCAGCCATGGATTGCTGGCACAGAATGGATCAAACTTTTCACTCCTCTTCTTCACAAGGAAGAGGATCACAGTCTAAAGCATATGTTGCCTCTTCTTCCACCACTTCTGCTGCTCCAGCATTTCAGTTTCAGTCTGCCTCTGCTGCATCTATCCCAGAATATCAATCTACCTCTACTGCATCTGTCCCTAGTTCCAATTGGTTCTTAGATTCTGGAGCCACCACTCATTTCACCAATGATCTTAATAATTTCACTCAATTTCAGCCTTATCAAGGTTCTGATCATGTAACTATAGGCGATGGTTCTACTCTGCCAATTCATCACACTGGAAATGGTTTGCTTCCTACACCAAGTACTTCTTTCTATCTTCATAATTTGCTTCATGTTCCTTCCATTTCTACCAATCGTTTGTCAGTTCATCAATTCATAAAAGATAACAATTGCACCATTACTTTTGATGCTGATTGTTTCATTATACAGGACAAGTTTTCCAAGCAAATTCTTCATAAAGGTCATCACACAGCTGGTCTTTACTCTCTCTCAGCTTCATCTGTTGTTCTTGGAACTTCTTCCACAACTTGCTTCAAAGCTTCCACTAGACCTTCTTCTTGCAGCAAGAGCACTTGGCATAGTAGATTAGGTCATCCTTCTAGTAATAAGCTGCAAGTGCTTGTATCCCAAAATTTGTTACCCACTAATGTACCTAGTTCTAATGATAATAAGCTGTGCACACATTGCTGTGTTTCTAAAAGTCATAGGTTGCCATTTCTTCTTTCCAATTCCACTGTAAATCAACCATTGGCTCTTATTCATTCTGATGTATGGGGACCCTTTAATGCATCTATTTCACATTTTAAGTACTATGTTCTTTTCATTGATGATTACAGTAAATTTACTTGGCTATTTCCTCTGACTTACAAAAGTGAGGTATTTTCTAAATTTGTTGAATTCAAGGCCTTTGTTGAGACTCAATTTACCACTAAGCTTCAAGTCCTTAGAAGTGATAATGGAGGGGAATATTTAGCAAATAAGTTTCAGCAATTTTTAAAAGATAAGGGCATTGAACATCAACTTAGTTGTCCTCATACTCCTGCTCAGAATGGAGTAGCTGAGAGGAAGCATAGGCACTTAATTGAAACTACTATTGCCCTAATGCATCAATCTGCTCTTCCTTTGTCCTATTGGTTTGATGCTCTTGCCACCTCAGTATTTCTTATTAACAGACTTCCTACTTCCAAGCTTAGTAATCTCACTCCTTTTCAAACTTTGTTTCATCACTCACCTGATTACTCCTTTCTCAAAGTGTTTGGTTGTAGATGTTTTCCTTGGCTGAGACCTTACACCAGTCACAATTTCTCAAAGTTTTTGGTTGTAGGTGTTTTCCTTGGCTTAGACCTTACACCAGTCACAAACTTCAGCCTAGATCTATCCCTTGTGTCTTTATTGGTTATGTTCCATCTACCAAAGGGTATAGATGTCTTGATGTTACTACTGGCCATATTTTTGTTTCTAGACATGTTATTTTTTATGAGAGTACCTTTCCATTTCAGTCTCAATCTATGTCTCCTCCTCAGTCTATTCCTCCTTCACTTTCTCAGCTGCACACTTTCTTTTGGCCTGCCACTGGTTCAGCAAATTCCTGTTCTGGTTCTCCTCATCCAGGTTCTTCTCTCCCTGCTGTAAATTCTATTTCCTCTACTCCAGTTCTGTCTGGTTCTCATTTGTCTCCCTCTTCTAGTTCTGAACAAATTGAAGTTGCAGGTTCTGGTTCTGTTTCTGTCCCTGATGTAGTTATAGTTTCTGGTTCTAGACCTGCACCAGTTGCAGATTCTGGTTCTGTTTCTGCACCTGATGCAGTTGTAGTTTCTGGTTCTAGACCTGCTGATTCTAGACCTGCACCAGTTACAGTTTCTGGTTTTGTTCCATCAATTCCCATTTCTTCAATCTCCATTGATTTACCTTTTCCTTCTTCTACTTCAAATACTCATCCCATGCTCACCAGGTCTAAGTCTCAACCTCTCCATGCTGGCTGCCTTCTCACTTCTTCTTCTTCTCCTACTGAACCTGATACTTTTCAAGCTGCTTCTGCATCTCCTAAATGGCAAGCAACTATGTTAGATGAGTTTCAAGCCTTGCAAAGACAAGGCACTTGGTCTCTTGTGCCTTTACCTCCAGACAAAATTGCTATTGGCTGCAAATGGGTTTATAGACTTAAAAGAAATTCAGATGGCTCCATTGCTCGGTATAAGGCTAGACTTGTAGCCAAAGGGTTTCTTCAAACTGAGGGCATTGATTATCATGAGACTTTTAGCCCTGTTGCAAAGCAACCTACAGTCAGAGTTCTTCTGTCCTTAGCTCTACATTTTCAATGGTCTATTAGGCAGCTTGATATATCTAATGCATTTTTGCATGGTGTTTTAGAGGAGGAAGTCTATATGCAACAACCTCAAGGGTTCATTGATGCTTCTCATCCTCATTTGGTTTGCAAATTGCATAAAGCTCTTTATGGTCTTAAACAGGCTCCCCGGGCATGGTTTTCTACCTTCTCTTCCTTTTTACTGTCTTGTGGTTTTATCTCTAGTCATTGTGATTCATCCTTGTTTGTCAAGAAGACAGCAGACTCCATTACCATTCTACTCATTTATGTTGATGATATCTTGTTAACTGGTAGTGATGTTGCTTATATAACTGCTTTGATTAATCAAATGCATGGTGCTTTTGCTATGAAGGAGCTTGGGTTGCTTAATTACTTTCTTGGCATCTCTGTGTCCTCATCTGCTATGGGCTATTTCTTATCTCAGCATAAGTATGCTTCTGAGTTGCTTGTGAAAGCTCATATGGCTGACTGCAAGCCATACTCTTCTCCCATGGCTCTTAAACCTTCTTCTTCTCCTAATGATCATTTACCTTGTTCCAACCCCTCTCTCTACAGAAGTATTGTTGGAGGCCTTCAATACCTCACCATCACCAGACCAGATATTGCTTTTGCAGTGAACTTTGCTTGTCAATTTATGCACCAACCCCTTGTTCACCATTTTGTTATGGTTAAAAGACTTCTCCGCTATCTCAAAGGCACTCTTGGCTATGGTCTTCAATTTAGTCCTGGACCTCTTACACTACATGCTTTTTCAGATTCTGATTGGGCTGGAAATTCACTGGATAGACGTTCCACTACTGGCTTCTGTGTTTTTCTTGGTCCAAATTTGGTGTCCTGGTCTGCTAAAAAGCAGCCTACTGTGGCTAGATCATCCACTGAAGCTGAATATAGAGCATTGGCTCACTCTGCTGCTGAGTTAAGTTGGCTTGGAATGCTTCTCTCTGATTTGCATGTTCCTTCTCCTTCTCCTACTTTATGGTGTGATAATATATCTGCCATATCTCTGTCTTCCAATCTTGTTTTTCATGCCCGAACTAAACATATCGAGGTGGACTATCACTATGTTAGAGAAAGAGTCGCTGCTAAACAACTCTCCATTTGTCATATTCCAACTTCTGATCAGGTGGCAGATATTTTCACCAAACCTTTGTCTATTTCCCGCTTTACTTATCTTCAGTCCAAGCTTATGGTTCTTCCCTCTCCCATCAGCTTGAGGGGGCCTGATAGAACAGCTACAGCAGCTACAGAAGCTCAGCCTATAGCTGCAGAAGAAGAGAAGAAGAGCTGCAGTTGAAGCCACAGAGCTGAGCTCCTTTCTGCAGCAGAATTATACAGTAGAGCTATACAAATCTGTTACAAATCAGTTAGAGGTAGTGGTGCATGTATTACATAGTGATGTGTTAGTTAGTGTGTTAGTTAGAAAGTTGTTATAACTGTACCTTAGGTTAGTTAACTAGTTACTAGAGTTACAATTGTTGTATATAAATATAACTGTACAGAAGCTATTTTTAATAATGAAAATATAAGCTTCATATTCATTTTAATAGGAACCTCCTATGAAGCTCAAATAAAAATTAATTGTCTAATGGGGTTTAGGTTTAATTTGAATCTAATTATATTTTATAGGATAGTGTGCTGTCGGTTTTATTTTTATATATGTTTTCTTAAGTCTTAAAATTCAATAGCATTTTGGTTACCTAGGTTTTTGAAGTGTAGATTAGGTTGCCAACTTGCCACCAAGCCTTTTGTTTCTGGGCTTAGTTATTAGTTTTGGGCAGAGTGGTAACTAAAGAGAGCATGAGGACAAGCGCCAACCACCACCAGGAGTCAATCTGAAACTTCTACGTGCATGAAGCACATCATCCCTTATAACAGCATCAGTTTGTGTTTACGGTACAATTAGTACAAGAATTACAGAATTTCTAAACACCAAAATGAAACCCTTCGCAACCCGAACCTTCACTACGGAAGCAATTGTCAAACTAGACCATCAAATCCTTCCTCAATATGTAATTGCTGCAGAAACTTCTTGCCAAAAATTGACATTTAACAAAACTCTGATTCCAAAATGAGATGAGACTCAGCCACAATCCTTTCTCGGTTTTTCTCCTGTTGGGAAGCATTGTTTTTCCCTATTTTCATCTTCCTACCAAAAACATAAAAGAAGTTGCAACAAGAGCCCCTTGAATCATAAAGATACAGATGCAAGTGTGCAAAATTATTGCATGATTGAGACTAAGATTGGAAATTTAAGCCATGGCCATGACCTTTTCCAGCCAAATATTCAGGATATGAGAACATGTGGAAACAAGAAAGAACACCTTTATGCCTTAATCATATAATTTCCACAATACAGCAGAAAAACACCAGTAATTTGTTCTGTCAATAGTGAAAACCTCAATGAGCAAAAATTTTACATCTTGCAGTCACATAATGAATCAATTAAACAATTATTATTATATTTAAAAGTTCACAAGTTAACAAAAATAAAAAGCAAGGAACATGGGAAGAATTGATACACATACATGACAGAAACCTGATGAGATTTTCCGATCACACCAAAATGTCTATGAAGCTCATACGAGAATAGTAGTAGGCACACTATCAAGAGGAAAACACACACACAGTTAGAAATGCAGTAAACAATTATCAAGTCAATGTCAACATGACAAGTAACTTACATTTAGAATACTCATAGATATGAGCAAAAAAGACTTTCCAGAAACAGTTTCCTTGTCTACCTGTATATCAGACCCTGAAGAAAAAAATAAATAATGCGATATTTATATCCAACACTCTGTAAAGAACCTAATGAAAAACAAATTATGATATCCCACTTGACTGAAAACTACCAACTAACAACAAAATAATAATATGGTCCGTGGTGCATACACACCAAATCACCATGTGCAGAAGATGCAATGGTTTCTCTTTTATAGCATGTATAATCCATTGAACACACCATATTATCAGTACATCACCATTGACAGCAATGCCACTAATGTTTTCTTTGGGTGACATGTCAGGCACCGTTTATGTGTGACCATTAGTGTCCATGTTACATTGTCTAGATGCACACAAGCAGGGACAAAAATTTCGACAATTAAAGCAAACTCAAAGCTATATATTTTAAGTCTAGTGAACTTTTTTTTTGTACAATTAGTGGTTGAAAATCAAATCGCCACTTTTTATGTGTTTTTCAAATGTATCTCATAAAGTCAGAAAGGTTAGAAAATGCTCACCACTCCGATGTGTAAAGGATGTGACATTAACAATCCGAGCAGGAACAGGGCTGTTTTCCAAAAGTGGTAATAAAACTTTGGTAAGAGAAAATGCACCAATGTAATTGGTACCCATCATCCTGGAAAAGGCAAGAGAAACATCAGCAAGCAAGTTGCAACCAACTATTCTTTAGGAGCGTAGGAACCTTGATGTAGACTTCCTTTTTTTTTTCCTCACTTCAAAGGGAGCAACACAATTTGAATTTAATTCTAATTACATAGAAGAAAACCAAGACTCCTGCATTCTGCCACGTAGACACAAAGGAAACACACAACATATAAAGAATAGAATTAACATATATTTTTAAGATAGAAATCTAGGAACAAACACATCATCAAAATTATCATGTACATAAATTCCACAAGGATCAACTGTAACTCAACCAGCTAGTGTAGCTTTAGAGAAACCAACTTTACCAATAACTTTGTTTTGGCAAACGATAGGATAGGATGTTAGTGGGTCAGTAAGATTACAACGAAAGGGCCGCAGTCATTCCATCGACTTGAAACCTGAACCTCTGACCTTCTCATTGTCCCAAGGGATAGCTACATGGATCACTAGACTAACTGCCATGTCCTCAACTTTACCAATAACTTACACCAGTTTAATTCACCTTATGCAAATTAACTTTCATCTCCTAACAGCTCACTAAAACTCGTACAGTTTCCTATCATGTGACCTTCCTATACCATCAAGCTGTCACCAAGCTTATAAAATAATTACTTTGTTCAAGTGGCACATGTAGGCCTATATATTTTACAAGCAAATAGATAAATAATTTGAATTAGTACTGATCATAGCCTTCAGCAGTGAGTCTAAATGTTGTTGCCAGTATCCCAGCGTTGTTTATTAGGAGTTGGACTGAAGAATGCAGATCTGAATCCATAAGCCACTGCTGAAAGGAGCCTTTGAACTTCAATATTGACTGAAAGGATGATAAATCAACCTGAAAGCATTTGAGATGGGCATTTTTATTTCGTCTTTCAATATCTTCCATAACCTATCAAACAACCAAGAGAGAGAAGATCAATGAAAGCATTCAAATCTAGGGACATACAAATAGCAATATACTTATGACATACACTACACCTTTGACAACAGATGTGAGGATCGTCCAACTAGTTAGAGGCCATTCTTTCTTTCATATGGTCCTTATTGTAGAGCAATTTTTACAAGTGATTTGTGGGTGTAGCAGCATGTTTGACGGATCAATTAGAATGCATTCATGCAGAGACACAACACTAACGCTCCAATTTTTTTTTTTTTTGATCAGCAAAAAAAAAGATTTATTGATGGAAAAAGCAAATTACATGCCAAGATACATCAACAAATCAGGGAAGTGCACAAGCATCAAAGCTAACCTTCACAATCCCAACTAGGTTGGCACCATAAATGAAGCCCAATCATCTGCAAGCACTTAACCTTCACAATCCCAACACTAACGCTCCAATTGTCGGGGCTTTTCCCAAAATAAGCAAAAATAGCAACCTATTTCCCAAACTAGGCCTAGTTTGGACGGAATTGCCAAAGTAAGCTGAAACACTATTACAAACCACGCTTTTAATTAAGAAAGCGTGGTTACAAACCATGCGTTTAAGGAAATTTGTTTTGCATAGAAAGCGTGGTTAGGAACCATGCTTTTAAATAAAATTTGGTTTTTCAGAAAACGTGGTTCGTAACCACGCTTTTACTGTTGACTTAAAAAAAGCGTGGTTATCATTCACGCTTTTAATTAAAATCTGGTTTTAAAGGAAAGTGTGGTTCGTAACCACGCTTTCATAACTTATATAAAAACCCCCACCCCCCTCATTTGCAACCACGCTTTTTACACTTAGTTTTTTTCCTCTTTCGATCGGCTCTCTCTCACTCTCTGCTCTCACTCTCACTCTCACTCTCACTCTCACTCTCACTCTCCCTCTGCTCTCACTCTCTCTCTCCGTCTGTGGGTTCTCTGCTCTCTCTCTCTCTGTGGGTCGCTCTCTGTTCTCTCTCTCGCTGGCATGATTGTCTATCTGTCTCTCTCAGTTTGAATTTTATATGTGTTTATTGTGTTTGTGAAAATGTGAATGTGGGTACAATAGGGTTTGTGAATGTGAAAATGTTGTGAGTTGAAATTGATATCAATGTGGATAGAATAAGCTTTGTGAATTGAAATTGTGGTTTTGAATTGGTAAAATCTTGTAGTTTTGAATTGTGAAAATGTTCTAGGGTTTTCAATTGAATGTGAAATTAGAAATTAGGGTTAGGATTTTGAATTGTGAAATCAGAAATTAGGGCTAGGGTTTCAAAAATTAGGGTTTTGAATTGTGAAAATGTTCTAACCCAGAGTTTTTGTTTGAATTTGTTTGACAATTCTAGGGTTAGGGTTTCATATCCGTATCTATATGTATATTTGATTTGTTTGGTATTATTATTATTATTATTATTATTCAAAATTAAAGAAAGGTTGACACACTTATATAATTTCCATTTTAGTCAAAAACAATTTTTAAAATTAGGAAAGAACTTTTTATTGTTTCCTAAAATGACTAGCTAAAATAAATACTAAAAAAAAGTAACTCTCAAGTTAAAATATAACTGAAAGTTTAATTAATCTTATGGAGATGCTCTTGCTATAGTATACGAGAAATTATTTAGTATTCTGAAAACACAATGTGATTATATGTCACTCAATAACACAGTGTAACATTTCACAATTTTTTTAGAAAAAATAAGTACAAAAATGATCATGTTATTGTATCACAAATCACGTTGAAATTCTTAATGCACCAAATGATTTTTGTAATTATTATACAAAGTATAGTTGTTAATTTGCATCATAGTCCATTGTGGTTTACTTTTTATTAGATTGTGATCAAAAGTCCACTACTACATTAAATATTAAAAAATATTTGGAAATTTTTCTTTAACACTTTCTATTCATATTTACATCCATATCCATAATGGGTAATAAAGATAAAACAATTGATGCGTAAAGAGGGACCAACAAACACATATTCAGTGTACAAATGCATGCACCCATTAACATATAAAATCCATAACCATATGAGACTTTACGTAACGTTATGGCATAAAAAATAAATAAAAACTATATAATAGTGGTATTTGGCATTGTAAACTTTCATAGTGGTCCCCATTTGTTCTCATTATGTTATAATAACATCAACCAAAAAATGTCAAAAAATAAAAAAAATTGAAAAACAAAAATACAACTGATCACTAAGGAACTAAACTTTTTCACTATCAAAAGTAAAGGTTTTTTTGCAAAATACAATTACAGTCCAATTTCACTCATCATGTGAGTAGGCACGAAACGTAAAATGAAATATAAAAAAGTTCTTAAGCTGTATTTGGTTAGGAGATTGGAGAAGAGATTTGGAAAGGAAAAGAGAAAAGATAAAATTTTTGGAGTCTTTACCATTACTCTTTTTCTTTTTCTTTCCAAGTTCCTTTCCAAATTCCTCAACCAAATACAACATTAGTGACTAAATTTTGAAAATGCCGCTAATAAATGTATTTTTAAGAACCAAATAATTTCATGCTAAATGGTATACCTTTTTTAAAATAAAATTTTGGTCTTGACAGGATAGTAATTCATTACCAAATGTCTAATTTCATCCTTAAATAGTAGAGACAATTGGTGAAAAGTTTATTTCAAAGGGGTATAAAGTATTAGATCCAAAGTAAAATCTTGTTTGGTAATAAGGACAAGGTGAAAATTGCTGATGATGTTGAAAAGTTTGCCGGAAAAGTCAGCAGTGGCCTATGGTGGCAAGTGGTGATGGTGAGGTAGAGAAATGTATTATATTCAACAAATATGGTGTTAAATGAGTGACATTGATCACATAGTTAGTTTGGTAAGAGATAGGTTGATTTAAACCTGTAAGTTGCAATAGATAGTTGTATTTTTGGATAAATTGTGTATGTTTGGACAAAGAGATTAGAGCTTTGATTTAATAACTTAAAAGATTCAGAAATTGACATGGTTTGAAGCTCCTAAAAAAATAAATGTATTTCCAATTCACATTCATTCTCATTATTATTATTATTATTATTATTATTATTATTATTATTATTATTATTATTATTTTGTGTGGCTATTTTTAACAAATTCTAGATTTATATCATAGAATTAATATTTGTGTAGGTTGCCACTTTTAATAAATTTTTAACTCGATAACCTGTTATCTTTTGCTTGATTCCTTAATCGTCCTCCTCATCACTTGCAATAAAGTTTTAGACTGTTTTAGTATGAAGTGGCCAGTGGGTTTCAAATAAATTATGTTTGTTTTATCACACACCATAGATTCGTCATTGTATTTTTATCACAGAATAACATAATACACTTTTAATAATTATAATTTTTATCATAAAAAATTATAATTCTCTTGTAAAATTTATCCAAAATTAATAAAAGATCTTCAGAACAAAAAGTTAGCTGAATTATGACATATTGTGATTAGTTATAACATATTGTGATGTCAATTATGACATTTTTTTGATTATGATCTAAGAGTTGTTTAGTTATGCTTGATTTGATATTCGGTTATAATTCAAATTTTATTTTTAATTAGGACTCCCACAAAAAATTATGTCATTTATAATGATGAAATTTACAGATGACATAACTTGCACATGTTACACAATCTTTAATATTTCCTTATTGAGGTGATCTTAAAATTGTACATGGTACATGAAGCATATATCAATAATGATCAAGGAAGCAATAATGGACCTAGAGTGGAGTAGGAGGGGCAATTGTCCTACTCATAAGATTTCAAAAAACTCTTTATATATTTTTTTACTTCTTATGTTAGTAGAAAATAATATTGTAGTTCATTATTAAAAAAAAAATTATTAATATACATGTCTACCTCATCAAGATTAGAAAACATTTCGCAGCCATGTCGACATGTGTGTTAAACTTATACTATCCAACCACAACCACTTTGGCCATAAGAAAACACCTACTTACCTACTAGTGGCAAGATGTCTCAAACTAAACTAAATGGAGAAAGTTAGAGGTAACATAAAAAGAACTAAGAAAAATTAGTAGAGTTACTTGGTGATTGTTTATACATTATTAATCTTAGCACACAGTATTACTAAATACATATACAAAATAACTTGTACGTTAGCATCTACCCTAATTCTGTTGGATCTCTCAATTCTCACTCATTTATTTTTTTAACAGATTATATGCGAGGTAACATTACATCTAAATGACAATTTAAATGAAACACCCTCTCACCAAATGAAACAATTAAGATGACACTAGTCAATTTATACACCCATCTCCCATCCCCGATCATATATATTCGCAATAATCATTGTAACTCTAACATATTCTTTCTCGATCAACCATCCTAAACCACAATGCAATATCACATAAAAAAAACCAAACTTTGGAAACTACGTAAATTCAGGTCATGGGTTTTGTTCAGTGTGTTCAAATGTGTTCCGATATTCCAAAATCGTTAAACGTTACAACAATTATTTTTTATTATTATTATCAAATTTATCTCCCTCATCAATGACACCTTTGTTCTTCTTTGCTTCGCATTTTTTTTTTGTATCGAACAAAGGGAGAATTTTGCGGAGTACGTGAGCCAGTTTCGGCCTTTCATAGTGGATAATCTGTAATTATAGGTTATAAATCGCTAGCACAATCGTCGGGTTGAATTATTAGTCGTTTATAATCCATTAGTGTCGAGATTTAGATTTTACACTTGAATGCTTATTATCAATATATTAAACTGACATTGTCGGATATTGATTGATAATATGATCGTATGGTAATATTTAATACATATATTTTGTTAATGTTACTTCTATGAGTTTTAGCCAAAATTCAGTAGCAGCAATTTTAAAAATATAAAATTACTGAAACGAAGTAAATGCAACGAAAATTGCACCTCAATTTACCGCGTCTATATTTAAGTTGCAAAGTACTATAAACTTGCAAAATTATAATTAAACATGTAACGCTTTATAAATGTTTAATTTAAAATTACTCTCTGAGTATATCCTTTCAATGGAGAATAAATATGGCAAAATACTAATAAACATCGACCTTTTTGTATTATTTTTCTGTTTGTGCTAGCAAATTAAAATAAATGATTTTGGACTTTTGGAGTTGGAGCTCATTTAAGTGAGGCTTAGTAAGAGAATATTGAAATTTTGAACTTATATAAAAGTAAAAAAAAAAGATTGTTGTGACTAAATAAATTTAGTGTGTGTAAATACAATTCTCCCGCCAGCATCTGTTTTCTCATGAAGTGATATTGGGGAAATTACCATCTCTGATTCAACCAACTTAAGATATAGTTGAATTAGGTGTTGTCCTAATGGATTGATGGAATGTTCTCTACGTGGGACCCTATGATGATCGGCACCCCTGCACTTACTCGTATCAGCGCATTACGTACATACTTTCTTTTAAATTGCATTGCAACCTGAATTTGTTTCGGCATAAGTTATTGCATGTGTTGTCCTGCGTTGGTGTAGTTTGCCGAGGTGATTTCAGCCTAGTTACCACCTTGAACTTCGAGTACTAGAACCATCATCTTGGAATCCACCTTGTTGTACCTCCAACCCTCCCTGACATGTGCCGGATTCATTGATCTAGGCGAAGGG